GCCGAGCCAGGGTTATTTCTTGTAACTCAAGTAACTCAAGGTTACTGCGTAAGGTTACTTTACTACTAAGGGCGTGATCCTCATTCTTAGGTTATTCTGTCTGTGATTTCATTTGAAAGCTGAGGTTGTCGTTTGCTTATTCTGGCTGAGCCTGAATTCATTTTCCCTAATTTGTGCAACCTCCAAGGTTTTGGCTGAGCTTGTCCTGCTAGGCCACACAGAGTTACGTTCCGAAAATGCCAGTGTAGGAATTCACCAAGGACCTGTGAAGGATTTTTACGTAGGTTTTTGTAGGGCTCAGTTCTCTCCTATAGCTGGTTTTTCTCTGATACTCTGTCCGCAAAAGCTTATCTGTCTTGTCAGTCCCTAATTCTGTTTCAATTGAGACTCTCACTGTCTATCTTGGGACTGCTACTGTTCATTTTAAGCTAGTGGGTAGAAAATAGGTGTTTGAGCAGGGTGATCCAGAAGGTGGCACTTGTTCCTCTTCCTGACCTTCCTTGAAAAGGGTGTTTGGTAATTATCATCTGTTTGAAAACTTAAGTTGATGAGAAAATACTGGTAAAAATGTAAATTTTTGAGCCTTTAATAAGTTCCTATTGAGTTAATAAGCTCTGTGATCAATGGCATTACACTTGTGAGTAAAATCAAGGCATAGCCTCTATGAGTGACTTATAGGCAAGTAGAAAGAAGTTCCTGTTATGTGTTAGAAGAAATGTATTCTATAAAATGGGTACTTATTACATGTCTACTCTGGGTCTTGTAGGTTATGTGTATCTGATTTACATATCTTGTTATGTTAACATATCTAATTATTTCACTGGTTCAATTTCTACCTGATACACAAATACTTGTTGCAGTTGCCCCCTCCCCTTTTTTGTTTGAGTCTTTGTTTCAGCTTTTGATGCTTTTTCTTGGCTATCTTGTTTTGTTGACATCTGTTTATTAATAGAATGGAGGAATGTGGCGAACACCAATTTTAAATTATCCCCCACTCTTTCTTTCTGGAACTTTTAGTTTTTTAGTTTTTTAATTAATTTTTTTTAAGTTTTGGATTAATATGAGGGTACATATGATTAAGTTACATTGTTTGCATTTGTAAAGAAAGTCCAAATTTCAATTGAGTCCTTCACCCAGGAAGTGTGCCATATACCCGTCTACATTGTACTCGTTAGGTGGGAACTTAGCAACCCCTCTCTCGCCTCCTTTCTACTATTTTTAGATGACAGTATTAATTATGCTTGGCCTAAAAAAAATATTTAAGTTCAAGCCAGTGTCCACCTTCTTTGTGGACCCATTGAAAATGTCAAGTTTTTGAACTTTCACATTATAATAGGGAAAACAGTATGCTCCATGAAGGCAAGGACCTAAGATTTATCATTGTACTATAGTTATACTCTGGAAACTTTAGTTTTAATCCTTCATTGTCCCCTAGCTCCAACCCATATGATGGTATGTTAAGAAAAATAGTTCATTTTCCCAAACTTGTTGCATAGTCTATGGCATCCTTACTGATGTTTAAAAAAATGTGCAAGTGGAGGGATAAATTTACATAATTATTATATTTTTTAATTTGAGAAACTGTTCTGAAGAAATACTTTACTTTTTATGAAAAGTCTTGTGCTTTTCTTAGAGGTTGATCTATTGGTCTGGCCTATTATGGGAGTTATCTCTAATTCCTTCTTTAAAGGATACTGTCTGCAATATTGGTTGAAGTTTATTTAGAATATTGGCATCATAAGTATGTTAAGAAATTTAAAATGTTTTATATTATTTTTTATTAGGAAACCACCCCTACTCCTAATCCCCCACCTACAGAAGAGGAGAAAACAGAATCTAATCAGGAGGTTGCTAACCCAGAACACTATATTAAACATCCTCTACAGAACAGGTAAGCTTTCTGACACCTAAGTTTCCAAACTTTGGCAACAAAGTAAATGGTGAGCAGGGCAAGTTTTAAAGGGAAAATTAGATGAGACTCCTTTTAGATACCCTAGAGTTGAAGGTTCCATCTTCACTTGGATGACTCATGACTAGCAAGCAGTTTTAAGTGTTAGTCTTTTTTGTTTTTTTTTATTTGAGACAGAGTCTTACTCTGTTACCCTGGGGTACAGTGCCACGGCACATCATAGCTCACAGCAACCTCAAACTCTTGGGCTCAAGCTATCGCCTCAGACTCCCAAGTAGCTGAGACTACAGGGTGCCCACCACAATGCCCAACTAGTTTTTCTATTTTTAGTAGAGACAGAGTCTCAGTCTTGCTCAGGGTGGTCTCAAACTCCTGAGCCTCAGGCATCCATCCTCCTTGGCTTCCAAGAGTGCTAGGATTACAGGTGTGAGCTGCTACTCCTGGCCTAAGTATGAGTCTTGAGCTCAGAAAAAACTGGATGAGAAATTACTTTGAAACTCAGCAGTATATTAGTGATGGTTGAAACCACAACAGTAAATTAGTTCTCTTGAGAAACAAACAAGAGTGGTGGTCATGGAGACCAAGAAAGTGGTTTGTTCGAAGCATATTACTAAATGGTCAAATGAAGCAAGGTCTCAAAATAACCATTGGATTGAACAATTTTAAAAGTGCATATGTGTTTTAGTAGCATATAGATGATGGAAAAAGAGATTAGGGTAGTTTGACGAGCGAATAGGACATATACAAACTTATAGAACAAGAATAGGTATCTTGAAGTTGGACTTAGAAGGAGAAAGGAGAGCTAGTTAATATGGAGTGTAGAGGTTGGTGGTTTGTATTTAAGATACAGATAAGTTAGGAGAGGAAAAGGGGAGGATTAAGATGAGTTATGTTTTCATAGTTAACAGTATATAATAGGAAGCTGAGTAGTAGTTCATTGTATGGTTTTTCCCAACTCCACCCACTCTTTCCCCATATGTTTGCGTTTTTGCTTACTGTTTTTCTGGATTATAAATAAAAATTATCTTGAATTCATTGATAGTGGAAAGAAAGTAGCAGTGCAGAAACATTTTAAGAGTCTGGAGGAAAGTACGTTGGAATTAATATCTGAGGATCTTGTAGTATTTCAGTGCTTTTCATTGTCTTTCCTTCTTTCTTTTTATTTACTTCTTACTCTGTTTACTTAAAAGGGCCACAAGCTTATTTATAATTTAGTTTCATTGATGAAGAAAATATATTTTCCTTTCATGACTTCAGTGTTTTTTATTTTTCCTTTATTATGATAAACTTAGTGGAATAGTAGTCCAAGTATGTTTTGTGCAGTTTCTTCTTATGAGGAACAAATCAGTTTTCTAGACAATGGAGACTGTTTCAGCTCCATTCATCAAAGTTCAAGTAGAGTTGCTAAAGAGTGAAATCCTTCCTCTGGAAAGCATTATACTATCCCATGTATTATTAAGCTGAACAGTTGATCAGTAGACGTTTCATATATTTCAACCTAATAGTAACACAAAAACTCTTACTTTTTGTCTTTTCGGTGGAGTTTTATAACGAAGCTAACTCTGTGTATCTTCTACCTGTTAGTGAACACAGTTTTTAGTGTTGCTGGGAGAAGTAATTAAAGCATATATCCCTCGCGGCTTCAGTGAAATAGGTTATCCATATCATTTGACATCATCTGTGGAATTGTATGGTTTTTTAAAAGAGAGTTTTAATTTTCATGTAGGCAGATACCAGTTTTCATCCATGGATTCTGGACTGCTATAAGTCTTAAGAAAACTTTACCACACAATTACTCTTTTAATAGCTGCATAGTAGTCTATTACATGGATGTATCATTTTATTTAAATAAGCAGTTCTCAACTAGTTGACCTCACAGCCCCTAAACACTTTTAAAAACTATTGAGAACTCCATGTAGCTCTTTGATGTGCTTATTTGTCTATTGCTATTGTATGTATTATTTATTTTTGATTCCCTGTTCAAGAAAAATACTTACATTACTATAAGGCGTTATCTTATATTTCACATTTTAAATGAATGTATAATTCTACCTGAAAATAAACCTGAGAAATGTAAAATTATATTTTTAAAAACCCATCACGTTAGTGTAAGTAACATTTTTAAATGAAAATAGCTATTTGAAATACAAATCTCTTTAACCACTGTACTTAGTAGAAATCTGCTGGATAATCATAGCTGCTTCTGCATTTGGTCTGTGGAGATACGTTGTTTCAATGGAAGTATAATAATGTGGTTAGGAAAGGGAGGAGAATTTTCATAGTCTTTTAAAATAATTATGGGTACATTAATGTTCCCCCTTTTTGTTTGTTTGTTTGTTTTGTTTAGAGAGAGCGTCTCACTTTATCGCCCTCAGTAGGGTGTTGTAGCGTCACAGCTCACAGTAACCTCCAACTCCTGGGCTTAGGCGATTCTCTTGCCTCAGCCTCCAGAGTAGCTGGGACTACAGGCGCCCTCCACAACGCCCACCTATTTTTTGGTTGCAGTTCAACGGGGTCGGGTTTGAACCCGCCACCCTCGGCATATGGGGCCGGCGCCCTACCCACTGAGCCACAGGTGCTGCCCAGTGTTCCCTTTTGATAATTAGGTTTCTTACAGGTTAGTTGCAGTATGGAATCAGGAACCACATCAAAAAACTTTTTTCTTACTTTGTTACATTGAAATCCATTAGTCTGTCTTGCATTTGGAATGGATTTGCTACCTATGTATGATTTTGTAACTTCATATGTTGTTGGAATATTTAGAAAATATTGGTTCAGTGAATTATATGGATCTTTTGAATGTTGACACATTTTATCGTATACTTTTGAATTCATCCAAAATGTCTTCAGTTTTTACAAAGTTGTCAAGCTTAAGGTAATAAATGAAACTTACCCAAATTCTGATTTTTTTTCTTTTGAAAGCTCAGCACTTTAGGCAACAGGCTTAATCTGCCCATTTTTCAAGAAATAACCATGGTTTATCAGTTATTTTTTCCAGTAAAAATGTTTCATGGAAAAGGTGGCTAGCTCACCTCATAATCTCAAAAATTGCCTAAATGTTGTATTTTGTTATGCAGTGGAAGTACATTTTGTGCTGAACATGGGAGAGACATGTAAACAGATGGAAATTTAATGAAACTGGTAATGTTTATTGCTTCATCAGGGGTACTCTTAAGTAAATTGACATTGTTATTACTCTGAGAGTTGGCAGCAATAAAGGATACGGTGACTACTGGTACGGTTTGGGGTTACTGTCTTTATTCTTGGTAAGGCACTAGCAGATTTAGCCACCATTGCTTTTGCAATGTAAGTGGGAACAACGCAGTGAAAAATAAAATGGCATCTTAGCATTATTTTGAAAAAAGGATCTTGGAGGCCTCTGGGGATCTCCAAACTTCACTTTGAGAACTGCTGATAAATATATGTTCAATTTGGAACTCTCTTGAGATAACTTTTTTTGCTGAGAAAATAGAGTTTTCCCTTGGTTTACCTTTAGTATTGTAATTTAGAGAGTATTAAATTCTTCTAAAGGGGAACCATCTTGGGACGAATAACTTTAATGTCACGTGAATTTATCCTCAAAGTATAGAAAATACCGGTATACCCCATTTTGTTGCACATGGCAAATAATGCCTGTTTTACAAAGGGAAAATTTTTGGCAATCCTGTGTTGAGCAAGTCTGTCAGTGAATGATGGCATGTGCTCACAAGTCTCTGTGTCACATTTTGGTACCTGCAGTATTCATGTCTGTTATGGTGATCCATGGTCAGTGATCTTTGTTACTATTGTGACTGTTCTGGGGGTACCACAAACTGTACCTGTGTAAGACAACAAACTTGACTGATAAATGTTGTGTGTATTCTGACTGTTCCACCAACTGCTGTTCCTTCATCCTCTCCCTCTCTTTGGGTATCCTTATTCACTGAGACATAACAATATTGAAAGTAGGGCTCTTAATAACCTTACAATAACCTGTAAGTATTCTAGCTTTTTAAATCAAAAGCTAGAAGTTAAGCTTAGTGAGGAAAGCATGACAAAACTCAGATAGGCCAAAAACTAGGTCTCTTATACCAAAAGGTTCTTAAATTATGAATGCAAATGAGTATTTCTTTGAAGGAAATTAGAAGTGCTACTCCAGTGAACACACAAATGATTAAAAAGTGAAACAGCTTTTTACCCCTCAGATGAAGAAAGCGTTAGTCGTCTGGATAGAAGATTGGACCAGCCACAACATTCCTTTAAGATTAATCCAGAACAAAGCACTAGCTCTCTTCTGTTCTATGAAGACTAAATAAAAGAGGGAGGGTAGCTAGCAGAGGTTGGTTCATGTGCATGGTTTAAAGAAAGAAGATGTCTCTGTAACATAAAAGTACAAGATGAAGTGGCAACTGCTAAAGAAGCTTCATCAATTTATCCAGAAGATACAGCTAAGATCCTTGATGAAGCTGGCTACACTAAACACCAGATTTTCAGTGTAGACAGAATAGCTTTCTGTAGAAGGAGATGCCATCTAGGACTTTAATTACAGAGAAGTGAAAGCTTAGCTTCAGAGCTTTAAAGGACAGGCTGACTCTTGTTTGGGGCTAATGCAGCTAGTGACTAAGCTGAAGCCAGTGCTCATTCACCAGTCCAAAAATCCCAGAGCCCTTGGGAATGATGCTGAATCTTCTGCCTGTGTTCTAGAAGTGGAACAACAAAGCCTGGATGACAGCACATCGTTTGTTTATAGCAAGGATCACGGAATATTAGAAAATAAGACTTTCAGAATCTTACCGTTGACCTGTAGTCCCAGCTACGTGGGAGGCTGAGGCAAGAGAACTGCTTAAGCCCAAGAGTTGGAGGTTGCTGTGAACAATGACGCCATGGCACTCTACTGAGGGCAACATAGACTTTGTCTCAAAGAAAAATCTAACTGCTCATTGACAAAGCACGTGGTCATCTAAGAGCTCTGGTGGAAATGTACACAGGATCTATTCTGTAGTC